ACTGCAAAGTTGGTTTGAATCTCAAGGTCGGCTGTTCAAGCTTACCAGCCACTGCTTGGAAACACTATACAGGGTCACTATGGGTCAGAACCTACTTGATGTCACTTAACAACATGGGCAAAATAAGGAGCTCTGGTATCATAATAATTACAAGTCGCGCTGCTAATCTCATGGTCAGCAGTTTGAAACTACCAGCGGTTCCATGGGAGAAAGATGAGACCTTCTACTCCCATAAAAATTACAGCCTTGGAAACCCAACACCACTACCATCATGGGCAAAATATTGAATGACACAGAAAACCTCACAAGAAGATGGAAGGAATACACAGAGCAACAATACGAAAATGAAATGGTCAATGTTCAACCACTTCAAGAGGTAGCATATGATCAAGATACTGAAGGAAGAAGTCCTAGGTGCATTGAAGGCATTGGCACCAGGAATTGATGGAATACAAATTGAAATGTTTCAACAAACTGATGCATCACTGGAGGGACTCACTCATCTATGCCAAGAAATTTGGAAGGCAACTACCTGGCTAACTGACTGGAAGAAATCTATATTTGTGCCCATTCCAAAGAGAGGTAACCCAAAGGAATGTGGAAATCATCAGACTGTATCATTAATATCACATGCAAGTAAAATTTTGCTAAAGATAAATTTAAAAACCATACATTGAAAGAGAATTTCCAGAGGTTCAAGTTGGATTCAGACAAGGATGTGGAACAAGGGCTATCATTTCTAACATCAGATGGGTCTTATTTAAAAAGAGAGAATATCAGAAAGATATTTACTATTCTTTATTCACTACGCAAAGACTTTTGGTTGTGTGGATCATTACAAGTTATGGACAACATTGTGGATAATGAGTATTCCAGAACACTTAAGTGTGCACATGAGGAAATTGTACATAGACCAAGAGGCAGTTGTTTGAACAGAACAAGGGAACACCAAATGGCTTAAAATTAGGAACGGCGTGTTCTTGGGTTGTATTCTTTCACCATACTTATTTAATCTGTGTACTGAGCAAATAATCCAAGAAGTTAGATTATAAGAAGAACAGAATTGGAGAGGATACATTAACAAC